ACTCCACGCCACACCACACACTTTTACTCCAGACAGATAAAAACGGAATCTTTTCGAGGACTAAGATTCAAACCTGATGAAGAAGGCCTCAAATCACTGAATATCCACCCGTTGGAGTTTATGCGTCTCAACGGTGACCTTCTACTGACTTGTAGCATTTTAAACACTCCTGCGTACCCTATTAAATACTTACTAACGGCCCGTCCCAACACACCCTAAGGACAACCCACAAAAATTATAGTCGCGACATGGCAGAATGGACTGTCGACATACCTGTTACTCTTTGCGAATAGTCAAATCGTGGATTTTGCTGCCTGCTGAGGCAGTCCAACAGACTTTCCAAGAGTCCTTTAAGAGAAAGCTTGACATATTCATAAGGACTCAGGACAGTATTCCCTTATAATTTATAAATATTCCTCGTTTGTCTGCCAAATACACCTAGGGTTCACACCTAGAGGCATCGATGAGCCACTAATTAGATACAGAAGCCTGTTGAGCGAAAGCTTCCATTTCATCCACAATCATTTGGACGTTTGAACAGTAGTACTCACGAATGTGGACAAACAAACTGTTTGTTCCCTGTAGAGGAGGGAATGCAATGTGATGAATGCAATAAGTGGTTCCATAAGGTGTGCACTCGCTTAAGTCCCACCGCATGCAAAAGATGTTCGAAGCCTAGCTCACATTGGCTTTGCATGTTTCGCTGTGCAAATAAGGCATTACTAATACAAGACGCTATAAGCCTATTGGCTTTGGCCTGTAAGAAGAACGATGGCACATGCGCTGACGACACGGGCACTGGCAGTGACGGATGTGCCAGTGTAGTACCTGCCGTTACGCGACGCCTCAAACAACCGACTCTGACTGACGTAAAAGAGAAATCTCCGTTAACATCAACAAGTGGAGTAGTACCACCTGGTACTGACATTGGTAACAACGCACTTTTAATGGGAACTGAAGATCTGGATAAAACAGTCACCGTTCCAAATAGTCCCAGTGTTATGAGGGATGAAAAATGGACTACGGTACGTAGGGAACGAAATGAAAAGAAAAAAGCTGTAAGCAGTACACAGGTAGTTAGTAACTCACTGGTGGACCCAAATTGTGAGCCACAAATTGCACTACCAAAATCTGATGGTAAGAGTGAAACCCATCCTGGCGTGACTGAGAAGAAAAATCAAATAACATCCAATATTACTGTGAGCAAATTGCGGGAGTCAAACGACTCTGATCCCAAAATCAGACACGCGCATGATTTAGAAAAGCTAGGAGACTATATTCGTAGTATTTTACCAGGTAACTCTAAAGGGTTTCTGGTCAAAAAATGGTTAGAATAGGCAAGAGGACTGAGGACAGTGTTGAACCCCGACCATGCAGACTCCTTAAGGTAATCCTAGGATCGGAGAAGCAGCGAGATCTCCTGTTAAGTAGCGCTCGTTGTCACGACAATTCCGACATCCGAGTTAGACCTGACATGTCTCCCGAACATAGAATAAAGAGGAAGAATGCACTAGCTGAACTTGAAACCCGTCGGCAAAACGGTGAGGAAAATCTCCGGCTAGTGGGTTTTCGGATAGTCAGGTCTTGGAAGCAAATGCTACCAAGGCCTATGTGGATAGGCCGTTCTACTTAGGAGTTTTATATGCCAACGCTCGTAGTCTACGAAATAAGTTCTATGAACTAGAAGCACTAGTGGACAGGTTAAAGCCACTCATTGTAGCAGTGACAGAAACTTGGCTAGTCCATGACTTAGACATTACTCCTGAATTATCCGGATACCATTACCTCAGGAGTGATAGACATTAATTTAGGGAAGGAGGTGGCGTCCTGTTATATATAAACAACAGCATAAATATCCGCTCTTCTGCTAGTGAATCCCATGATAGCGGTACTTGTGAAGTTGTAGAACTATGATCTACTATAATATTAGTACTGCTCTAATAATAGACCTAATCATAAAATTGTAGATTTGTCATGATATAACTGCCTAATCTATGAGATCTTACGTGGAAGTCACACCATCGACTACACCAACTCACTGTATCGTAACAATTACCAATACATGATGTAGAACAAGGTTAGGCTAGAGAAAGAACAATATATTTAATATGAATAGAGGATATAAGGTAACATTCAGCAGAGACCACGCCTGCATGGCCGAGCCATGCCACTCGATCAACTCCAGTTCATTCAATACATTCTTTCCGCCCTCTCCATCGTTAGGTATTTCTCCGCGTTAAATATTAAATATCTATTTTCCGAGTCGTCTCGTGTTCAGCTTTAAGGATTGTGTGGTTATGGTTCAATGCCACTACAAAGTCAGTAGCTGTAAGTTAGCTATTGGATGCAGTACATTTATGTTCGGTGTCATCTATCGGAGCCCAATTTGCTTAGCTGAGGACTTTATTTTAGAGCACATTCATTTTTGGAGTGCAAATACCAGATGCTTGATAATAGGATACTTTAATGCACCTGATATTTGTTGAACTGAGATGACCACAGAAGGATCTATAAACTCCTTTGATAGTAGGTTCCTGATAACAATAATGGAGCATGAATTAGTGCAGCGTGTATCCAAACCCACACCTATTGGTGTTAACCAAGGTTCTTCTCTGTTGGAATTGGTAATCACTCATGAGATTGAGGATATTGACGACCCAAATATTCTTCCACCGTTAGTGAATAGCGATCACGCTGTTTTGTCATTCACGTTTAGAACTAGGGACACGTTATATGATCAGGTTGCACCTCGCCCAAATGTATAGAAAGCTAACGTATCAGCCATTCAGGAATGTGCCGCTAAGACAGATTGGTTTGTAGATACTAGCTTATCAGTTGAAGAAGCATGGTCTGTATTTAAAGGTAAGTTTAGTCTCGTTACGTCCCCGTTCATACCATACCTGGTGCCACAAAGACCGAATAACAGTCCACCACGGATAACTAAACCAGTCAGGAAACTTCTTTGGAAAAGGAACAAGCACTGGAATATGTTCATCTCTACTGGCTTAGAACAATACAGATCCACCCATTGTAAGATTAGGAATACCTGTAAAGCGTTAATAAGTAAGACTAGACAATCATATGAAAAACAATTGGTTAGGGTTTCTAGATATAGTCCGAAACGGTTATTCTCGTATATAAAAAGGCGAACTCAGAGAAGCGATGGAATTCCATCACTTTTGGTACAAGAAAATCCGTTAGTCTTGGCCGAAAATGATGCCGAAAAGGCTAAAGCTATATCGGAATATTTTAGTAAAGTATTCTCTATCGGTAATGAGGAATGACCAACGATTCATCATGACCGTGACGGCTCACTGATGGGTCCTGTAGTCATTGAGAAAGGTACTGTTTTAAGGCTACTTCAGCATCTTAAACCTGATAAGTCCAGTGGTCCTGATGATATTCATCCTAGGATTATGAAAGCCATATCAGATGAAATCGCTGAACCATTAACGGTACTATTTGACATGTATCTGAGACAGCCCAGACTGCCTGGAGACTGGAAAGACTCCATAATAAGTCCGGTGTATAAGGCTGGGAGTAGGGATTTAGTTAGTAACTATAGACCTGTCAGCTTAACTAGTGCAGTTGTAAAACTGATGGAGAAAATCATTCGTATAGCTGTTATAAACTATGTTGAAGGGCAAAATCTTTTCTCCAGGGCACAACATGGTTTTCAGAAAGGCCCATCTTGCTTGACAAATCTTCTTATTGCACGAGAAGATTGGGCTGCTGCAAAAGATCGGAATGTTCCTGTGGATGTGATTGTCATAGATCTAAGCAACGCCTTCGATAAGGTTTCCCACTTTCGTCTTAAATTCAAACTGGAACGTTTTGCAACCTATTATACAGTTGTGGGTTGGATAAGTAACTTTCTCCATGACAGGAGACAGGGTAAGGGTTAATGGGGCTCTCTCCCCGTGGGTACCTGTAAAAAGTGGGGTTCCTGAAGGTACATTCCTAGGTCCTCTTCTCTTTTTACTATATGTAAATTAATTGCCAACTGTAGCAAAATCACCCGTCCTACTCTTCGCTGATGACATAAAGATTTGGAGACCCATACATAGTTTGTGAGATAGAATGGTATTACAGGATGATCTTAGATCATTGGCGGCATGGTTGGACAGGTGGTCACTAGAAGTAAATCTTAATAAGAGTGTAGTGATGCAGTTAAATAACCCTGACGAATCGTATCACTATACACCACGTGGATTCGTGCTACCCGAAGTAAGAAACTATAAAGATTTAGGAGTCATATTAAGCAATGATCTCAAAACGACTAGTCACTGTAAGGCTGCTGCTGCAAAAGGCTATAGGGTATTATGGTCAATTCGTAGGTCTTTTCAGTATTTAGATGATGAAATGTTTGGATTACTATACCCGATTTATGTGCGACCACATTTAGAATACGGGATTCAAGCAGCGAGTCCTTGTTTCAAATATGAAGCAGATATGCTAGAAAGAGTCCAACGACGAGCTACTAAAATGGTACAAGGTCTAGCTGGCCTATCTTATGAAGACAGACTGAGACACCTTAACTTATTTCCGTTATCTTACCGTAGAGTACGGGGTGATCTAATATTGGCTTATCGTATACTGAACGATGACCTTGGTATTAACATGTCTTATCTTTTGCTTCCGTCTAGAACCGACCATTTGAGAGGACATTCGAAGAAAGTTCAAAAACCGAGATCAAACCGTTTACGTCTGGAGTTCCGTTTCTCGCATCGAGTAGTGAATTACTGGAATTCCCTACCGGAACACGTAATATCAGCACCGTCTGTTAATATATTCAAAACGAGATTGGACCTCCACAGTATTATAGACTGCAAGGTTTAATATAGGTCGACAGACCTCCTATCCTCATTACTGAAGACTGAAGACTGAGACCGGCAAGTATAAAAGGCGTAGTTACAGTTTCGCTATTTGGATGTGTTTGTGTTGACCTAAGTTTCTGTCCTTTTCTCCAATAAAATACCTAATTTCTTTGTATCAACTAGTATCTAAGGTGAGCATGTCTTGTATACTTGGTGAACCATGTTTCAATATCGGAACACACATCACATTCACATATGTGAACGTGATGGTGGGTACGATCGAGTTATATTAGGTGTTACTGGTTAAAGCGTTGTCAAACACTGAATACTTGTGGCATCCTTAAGCCATACATTGAATGCTGAAAGGAATTTCACGTTAATTTAACTGAATAAACACAATACCCAGTGATTATTTCGATGACGAGTTCACGCTTTAGGAATAAATTGACTGAAAACAAAACTCTCAATTGGAACAGTATGTTTTGTTTTGGTTAAAATGGGTTGCTCAGAGCTCCAGGGCAGAGGGGGCACCAATAAATTAAATCCTCATGGTATCTAATTGCTGATCTAGGTTCATATACTACTTTTTCTCTTAGCATACTGGAGCTCGGCGCACCATCGGTTTGGAATCAGGGTTTTTGAACTTTCCTAGATAAGTCTTCCTTACTCAACAACTTAGTTTAAACTTCAGACATTCGCTTTTCATTATCTCACTTTTGTGAAGATCACTCGTGTGGATGCAATGAGTAGAATTTTCCTGGCAGTGGCTATCAAAGTGTGGATGTATGAGAGCATTCTAGGTGTGAGTGAACCCTGTATACCCTCGATCATGCCAGGGCGTTTGATAGTTCTTTATTTCACTGACATATGATAAATTCAACCGCTATCCTTGACCAAAAGCACGTATTGTTAACGACTCGGGGAAGAAAGATGCATGTATACCCATAATTTTTTTTCGCCGATTTCAATTAATTCCATCGAAATTAGTATCATAAGTAGTTTTCAGTTAAACAAAACAAGAATTATTGGTTTAATGAAGTGTTTTGTGTTCAGTTAGTTCATTTCTAAAGTGTGAACTCTTCACTGAACCAATCGTTATTGTTTTATGCATCAGTGGATATTCTATGTTTATTCAGATAAATTAATGTGGAATTCCCTATAATGCATTTAAGTGTAACAGAACTTGTTCAGCAATGGTCAAACTACTTTTGTTTAATTTCATCTCGAGAATATTTTAACGGCGAACGTAAGCTGCACTTATTATCAAGTTGATAGTAATGTGCACTCATTGAACTTGGTTTTTCAAGTCTAGTCTAGTGGTTGAAGTATTTCTCTCTATATCAGTTTCATTCGACAATAGTTGAAAGGTTTTACATTATCAGTTTGTTGTTAATCCATGAAAGTACTTTGTGTGGACTTTCTATGTTGTTTGAGGTGTCTTACGGTACTATCGAAGTACGAATGATAGGGTGGTTTTTCTTTCAGTGGTTGCAATTTATATTAACTTGATGGATTGCATCGCTTACAGACTACAGCACTTTAACTTCATTACTCCACACTCGTAAAAGGCTTGTGAGGTGAAAATCACAGGAGAGTCTGGAACTCATACGACGGATTACAATGCAAAGTCGTGCATGGAAGACATCTAACAGGTGCATTCCCAGTGAGGGCCAGTGTCAGAGAAGATTGCTTACTCTCATTTTTTCTCTTCTGGTTGTCGACTGGATTATGAAAACCTCGACATCTGAGTAGAAGCACGGAATACAATGAACAGCTCAGAATCAATTAGACGATTTGGCCTTCACAGATGACCTGTCCCTTCTATCCCATACACACCAACAAACGCAGGTCAAAGCAACCAGTGTAGCATAAGCCTCTACATCAGTAGGTCTCGGTATACTCAAAGGAAAAAGAGAGGTCCTCAAACACAACACAGAGAACGCCAGCGAAACAAATCACACTTGATGGAGAAACTCTGGAAAATGTGGAATCTTTGACTAACCCGAGAAGCATCATCGATGAACATGGAGGATCGGATGCAGACGTGAAGGCGAGAATTACCAGATCAAGGGCCGCATTCCTACAATTGAAGAACATATGGGAATCAAAACAACTGTCTGTCAACCTATATCAAAGTGAGAATCTTCAATACGGACGTCAAGACAGTTCAGTTCTACTGTATGGAGATGAAACGTGGAGAACTACCGCAACCATGATGAAGAGGGTGCAAGTATTTATAGAGAGTTGTCTACGCAAGATACTGAATATCCGTTGACCGGATACTATCAGTAACAGTGTACTGTGGGAGAGGACAAACCATCTTCGAACTGAAGAGGAAATGAGGAAAAGACGTTGGAAGTGGGTAGGACATACATTACGGAAATGGTGAGAGTGTATCTCGAGGTAAGATCTAACTTGGAATCCATAAGGGAATGAGAAGAGAGGAAGGCCGAAGAACACATTACGTCGGGAAATGGAAGCAGATATGAAAAGGATGAATAGGAACTGGAAAGGATTGTCCAGGACAGAGTTGGATGAAGAGTACTGGTGGACGGCCTGTGCTCCTCCGCGAGGAGTAATAGACGTAAGTAAGTAATTTGGATTCTAATTAAATCATCTGATTATTTGATTGCATAATCTTGTCAAGCTGTCAATTGAACGCAAAATCACATTGAATTAATCCATACAATGAAAATACACTGAAAGTCAAATAAACTAACTATACACTAAATGAATTAATACAATGAACGAGAATCACGTTAAGTCAGAAGTAGAATCAATTTGTTTATATTTTATATTTAGGAATTTCATGTTTTCAACTGTGTAGTTATAATGCTAACCAATGAATGATATAACGTACTTCTGACGTGGAGGCTAAAAATATTCCGATACCATGATATCATAAATCTTAGTATTAATCAATGAGTGGGAACTACAGACTTTTTAAACACTTACCTGTATTTTGGTACTAGTAATGTTCCAACAGATTCAAGCCGACTTTGAATGTATAATTTTTTTGTATTTTTTTCAGCACTGTTTTCAACCTCTCTTCGAATATCACCAGTTTAAGTTTTCATTGTAATTCGTTCAGCTCTCTTCACAAACTTCTGATTTTTCAAATGAATCGTCCAAATTGGTTTTATATACTATATTTAACTGTTATTCAATTTACCATCTATGGGGTTTGTGAAGAGTTATCTGTTAGTCCTATTGCTCAAGCGCTGCGTGTTCATGAGTCTGGAATTTTTGAATGTTCTCTCGAAAACTCATCCTATAATTCAGACTTAAGGTGGATATTGTTTGATGGAACAGTTCTATTAAATGGTAACACATCAGAAGATGGTCGATTTATTAATGAAGATGGTATCCTAAAAATGACTAATCTTACTATACCTGATTCTGGTGAATATAACTGTGTAAATGTTGAAGTTAATACCACTGTTACTGCTCATCTTAAAGTGTATATTATGCCATCTTATTTATTGGAAGGATCCATTGTTCTTGCTATCAATGGTGTTCTCTTCATTTTATTCATTTATTCAATGATAAAAACATATCGAGAACAAAATATTAAAGATCGTATGCATGCTTTCTAATGGTTTATTGTTTAATTGATGAGAAAGATTTCTCTCTCTGTTCTTGTTTTTTTTACATCAACTGCCATTCCTTATCGATTATTGTTTTTTTGGCGTGAATTTTCTAAATAATATAATTACATGTGTTATACTATGCTTTATAATCTAAACATGCAGTTTAATGCATTCACTTGTATCTGATATTCATCTCTTAGCTATGTTATAAACTGTCTTTACAAGAAAATAGCAATTCATGGATTTTTTGCAGTTATGAAACACATTGTTTTGTTTTTCGCAATCTGAAATCACCCTATTTTTTTTTAACTCTTAACAAGGCAAATCTGTGAATATGTTGTTGTTAATGTTGATTTTTTGGATAGTTTTAAAATTTATATTAACTTTATACCCAGTATCTAAAAATTCTGTTTTGAATTAAGGAAGAAGTTTGATTTGTTTCATCTTGTCTTATTTTTATTTGACGTAAACAAGATTCAATAAATTAATTTAACATTGATGATCTTGTCTACTTGGTAACATTATCCCAGAACTCGAGGAATAACTACTGGATGTCAGCCACACAGAGCATTTCTGTAAGTAGTTTTTGGCACTTGCTCTGTACTTTCTAAGCCTTATGTCTAATGTCTAAAGCCTGTGGAACAAGTGGAGGGTGTGCTAGTTTCTAGGACATATGTTTTCTATCCCTTCCGTCTATCGGACGCTGGTTATCTGTAAGAAATGCTTTATTGCCGCTGCATCCTACTACATTTCTACAAACTTTGAACTTATTGATTTCTAGTCTTATCACTCTTCAAATGACCTTACCATTAGACAGGTTAGAACATATGGCTTTCTGCCAATAACTCATAGTCTTGAACCCCGTTTCCAGCTATTTAATTCAGGTAGCTAGGGAATAATAACAATCCCTTGACTAAAAGAAGAATACATTTGTTTGTGTAGATTGATCACTGTAGTGATCAATATCATGCTTGTCTGGTCCTTAGTGCTGACCGGGTTCCATGGATCAGGTTGCATTGTGACACGGCATCACATGTACTATTTTGATGTTACGTGGTTGGAGGTAGTCTTCAGGAAACTCTGGACGTAAGTTTCTCCCTTGTCGGCAAGAGCTTTCTTCAATCTTGGGGCAGCTGATAACTCGGGTTGTGGAACCAGTTGATATGAGTTCTAATTTCTTAGGGTGCATCATTAACTTCGAAACTGCAGGTACACATTACCGAAGAGTAGCAGGATACCTAGATTCAGGGTCTCCTGACGATTACCTTTGACCACGTAATGCTAACTTGAAATTGGTATATCAGCTACTTTTATTATTTTCTTCAACGCATAAATCTTGACACAAAGGGGCACCAGATTGTATATGCTCCAAACAAAATTTGTATAACGGATGGGGTACTGCCCAAATCAAAGCAGGTGGTTTTCTTGGGCGGCCGCAACCCGGGGTCTTGACCTATATGTCTAGTTCACAAAGCAATGGTACAACGTCAGGAGATGCGGTTCTATGTTAGCCGGTGACCAACGATTGGTTCATACACCATTTGTTCCCTTGGGATCCTGGAGCCCATGTATACCAGTGGTTTGGAGTCAGGGTTTTCTAGCTCCCCTAAGTGGATCAGTGTACCTACCCGCCCGGTTTAAGAGTCGGGCATTCACTTTTCGTCCTCAATTTCGAAAGCAAAACTTCTGCAGCGCGAAGGCCATACCAGGAAATTTGATATATCAGTTACATATTTCAACTTTTTGAATTATCATTTTAATGTATTTATGGTAAAACAGTGATAAACCTTATCAATCCACGCATTCAAACTATCAATTGATCGTAGATGGAATGAAGAAAACGAACAAAATTTTCTTAATTTCTACATCATTCTCAGTGGAATCTTAATAGGTTTATAATTCAGTTAACAGAGTTTTATGTGATAATCGATTATGAAGTCATAATTGACACGAACATATAGGCCAGTGGTAACTTCTCTGACCATGAATCTGGGTAACATGCGATCAAATCCTTCAGGTAGCACCAATCCCTTCGATACTGCAGGTATACCTTGCTCACAAGTGCCAAATAGTACGAAACGTAGGTCTAGCGTTTCCTGTCGACTACATTCAACTACCACCTTATATCTCAGCATAACACACGCGATGTCGAGTCACCTAGACTAGCGGCTACATTGTGACTTGACCGATAGAAATCAATCTACACAAAGGACATGACATTGGTCACTTCCCAGTGACCAATCAATTGTAAATAATATTGACATATTTTGTAATAGCGTAAAACAATCAATCCTTCATTGATGATTCTTGTCAGTGTAGGGTTTTTGGGAGATAACAGAATTTTTATAGACTTGGTACCACAAACTACTCTTAGGTAGACCATCAATGAAAACTGTGGAACACTGAACAGCTGTTTCGTTTTAGTATGGGATTTCCCAACTTCCAAGTTTTCAGCTTTGGTCTAACTAATATCAGTTCATTGTACAAAGTCTATGAAAACCAATAGTTTTTTGGGATATAGCGTGGCAAGCATCCAATGTCACTGATGACAATTATTTCATTCCAAACACGTTTGAATATTTTTATTCGAATAGCTGAAAATGTAGTGAAAGAGAACTCAGGTGGGGAAAACCAACTAATTACTTGACGCAGTAATTCCATAATGAAACTTCATCATTTGAGGTGGCTGGGACACGTGTTACGTATGCCCAACTACCGACTGCCCCGACATGCGATGTTTTATGGTGTAGGAGTAGGTTGAGAGAAAGCTAGGGGCGGCCAGACCAAAACGTGGCACAACTCCATGAAGTCACTGACAAGTGGGCTGAGTCATGTTGGTAGGTGCAGACTACCTGGTTGGGATCCGCGAAACGATAGCAACCGATTGTTATAGACCTTGAATGGCGTGTCTCAAAATCGTTTGCAATGGTGCAGATGCATTCACTCTTCGTGTTCACTCAAATTCTAATCTTCTGAATTCTTCATGTTTCCTTTTTGTCTCTTTCCAAATTTATTTCACTGAATTATACTCCTTGAATAACATCTTCAAACCCTAATTTTTCTGATTACTACTTCTACTACTAAGGGATTTTAATCGACAATTGTATCTCTGTGCTATGGCAACTCGAACTGATGTACGTATGTACGAAGTTCTACGTTGCTACTGACTGATTTGCACATCTATCAATTGTCTTTTACATACTTTATGATTCTTCCAATTCTGTTGTTATCTCAACTGCTCTCTGTTTCCCTTTGTTTACTCTACAATTCAATATTTTGCTAGCAGATATTCCACTTCTGATCACTTATATCTATCAACATAAACAGTATACACTACGAATATAATTAACTTTTATGCGTACATACTGATCACTGATATAATTTGTAATTTGTGTCAAATCATAGATTTCCTTGTAACTTAAGTTTCCTTAATAAGTTATTCGAAAAAGTATACTGTCTTAGTTGAATATCATGTATAATAGGTGGCAGTTTTAATTATAAACATTGATCAGTAATTTTGTCTTATGATAGGGATTAAATTAAGATTTGGAGGATCAATTCTCTCATTTGAATATTGAAATCTGATAACCAAATAATTGAAAATAACTAATCAGATAAGTATTGCGACAATGAGATGTAGTTTAAATGTTTAGAGTTAATCAGTAGAAAGTTGTGAATGGAAATCCTTTTGTTTAAGTCCAATCTGTCAGAAGACTTTATGCATAGTAATCTGAAGCCCATGTGCCTCTTCAGATACTAGAGATGAGGTGGTATACGTTTGGAAATCAGAGAGAACTAGACAACTATTTTGTGCCAGTTAAGAAACCTTTAGATGTATACACTTACGACCTCATGAGAAATCAAATTAGATTTTCCTGGCTTCGCATTAAATACGATATCTTAAGACTGATGATCTGACAACCATTAGTCCGTAATTTTCAGTTGAAGTAATTTGTGTTATCGGCTATCAGAAATAACAAATAACTTTTGTTAGCAAATGGAAAGTACAGGTCATGTGTTTATCTACGCTTTTGAATGGGGTAATAACCATGTCTAAATCTAGCTTCGTTCGATATCTTTCCCTGATCATTTTCTAAGATAAAATTAACATCAATCTTCAACAGTTCACTCTATTTTGGAATCTACATTGGTTTGAGAGAGCTGAAAGTTACAAGCTTAAAGTTTACTCCAGGGTAATGGCGTTATATAACGGCAAGTGACAACTGCCTGACGAAATGAGACTGTTTAAACAGAACACTGAATTTTAAGGTTTCAGTCTGACTCCAGAAGCCATCGTTTTACATTACTTTGCAACGTTTAGTGAATCGAACCGTCATATCACTTCGAACTAAATAGAGAACAACCAAGAGTTAGCTGTTCAAGTTTCTCAAAACATACATTCCAGATAACCAATGGAGCTAGAAAGAGAGCACTCAGAAGCAAATAGTAACAGACAATTCAAACCAGGTTTGAAGCTTCTATTTATTTAATTAGCACAAACATTAATGTGCATAATTCAAGTGGCCGTGAAACAAAGCTATAATAGAAATAAGTTAAAATTGGTTTACATAACTTAACAACTGTTAAGAGTCCAATAAAATGTCAACGGTTATACAAAATGTTTTGTCCTATAGCCCGTCATTCATTACGTGACAAGACCGTCAATCAGAACACCAACTTATACGACTTTAGCCTTGTGCTAAACCAATGACACATTAACCGCTACGAGCAGCCTAGAATCATCTCTGAGTCTTTATTGGTTCTTCTCATCTAGACCTGTTCGTCTGAGTCCAGCTCCCACTGTATGAATCATGTATTTCAGACATACTTGGTTTATATACACACAAACCAGATCACATCATACCATAAAATAGGAAATAATAATTATACAATATCAAACCAAAATGTGACTATGAGTGTGGGGTACTGTAACTAATAGATTGAGAATAACTTGAGATTATTACATCGTATAATAGTAGCTAATAGGTCAAATGAAAGCTTATAAT